TGGATGGCCTACCAATGAACAAATTCCACATGCATTCGCTGTTTGCACATTACCTGCAACCATTCGACAAATAAGAGTAGTTAGACTCGCAAGTTGTTGTTCAATGGATGAGACATTTACCTCATTAACATATTTCGATGGCATGTCAAGTCTAGTGCCGAATTGTTGAGAATTAGCACCATATTTGCAATCAACTTCCAAAACTACCAAGGAAATTCAAAAAAAAATATATGACAAACAAATTTTAAAAAAAAACTAGAATAAGAAAAACAAATAAAATTATATGCTAAAATTTCTAAAAACAATAAATTGCTCAAAAACCTAGAAAATTATGATTTTTTTCAAAAATAAAATAAAATAACTAAAGAAGTATAAAAATAAATTAGCACCACTCCCCGGAAATGGCGCCAAAATTTGGTGTGTGCGGTCTCAGGTACCCAAAAGTAATACCTTAACCTCTAAAACTAATGTAGTAGTGAAAGTAAGGGTCAATTCTACGAAAAGTGTGTAATTCAATATTTTATGCTTCGTACAATGATTGGGGGATTTTTGTAATTGTAAATAACGTAATCAATAACATTGAAAATTAAATTAACGAAAACAATCAAAAGACTAACCTTGGTCTAAGTTCACATCCACCGTCGAAAATCCACGATTTATCATAGATGTAATAATAATTCAATTCATATTTTGAATATTCATCGTTGGAATTAATTCATATTTCTCCTTAATTTTAGTTAGTTAGAAACCAGCATTCTAATTAACCCTAATTATTAAATAACCACAGACCAGCACTCAAGATTCAATTTAACAACAGATATACACAATAGAAAAATCGATAAACTAGATAACACAAGCACCAGCGGTTGCATTCAATCTATTTAAACATTTTTCTTAAGATTCAATAACCTCTATCAAAGAAAATCATCAAATCCTAATTCTTCACAAGTTAAAGGGATCAAACAATTATGAATTTGATATTTAACTTAGCGGTAGATTGTAACGAATAACAAACTAGTAGCCCTCCTACAATTAAAATAACAATCATGAAAATAAATGTAGAAGAATATTCAATACGCAAAATAAGAATTAAACAATAAGAAAAACTATTTAGATCTCACAATATGTGGTTCCGAGACTTCAATTTCCTTCAACTAAATTTAAATTCATGAATCTAAGAGAGAAATAATGAAAAATGGAGTTTGAAAGCGTTTTCCCCGTTCTAGAGTTTTAAAATATGTATTTATAGTTGTTTCCATGGTTAGTTGACTTAGATTGGAAAACCAGAAATTTTTCCTTAATTTGGCCTGGGTGGGCAGTAGAAAATGGGGCCGCTGCCCAGACATAAATATTAGCTTCTGTTAATGAAGTTTAGGGTCAGGTGGCCGCCCGACCAACGTAACTGAGCGAATTTCAGTATTTTGGTCATATCTTCCTCTCTCGATATTCAATTGAGTTGATTCAAGATGTGATAGAAAGATAGCTCAAAGAGCTACAACTTTGCTTCAGATATCATCTTCCAATCCAATCGTTTTCCTTGTCAAAAATGGGTCTCAAACGAAAACTAAAAATGCGATGCATAACTTTTCGATTGGAAATTGGTGTGTGA